CCTAACCTGCTGCTAAACTGTAACATGATGACATTGAAGAGAAAGAATAAAAACACACAAACCTGATGTCTGCAGTTGATGGTTGAGGCTGTAAACAGCTTCTATCTGGATCTTCATGTTTTCATCTTCCTGATCTTTAACTCTGATAAAATCCTCCGACTTCTCTTCTTCCTCTGTTTTTACCTGCTGTCTCCACATCTCATCAACATTTACCGAGCTGTTACAGCTCAACATAACTGAGTTAAACTCTTCTGAGCAGCAGGCCACGGSACCCACCGTTAGCTCGTAGCTACAGAACAATAATAAAGTTAGCAGCAGTGATACTAGAAGACTTCCGGTAGCGTCTGCCAGCTGGCCTTCAAAATAAAAGTCTGGAGTGTCCTGCTTCTTAGCACTAGCCCCTGAGTTTCCATGGCAGTTATCCAGTTTAAGTCAAGTAAATTCGTTTTATTGTCAGTACTGCATATGTGCAAGACATACACAGGACTGAAAAATATGTTACTCTCCCACCCAATTTTACAGCTGTATGGGTTTGTCCCCACACTTCATATAACAATGTTATGTGGAATTTATTTTAGCAAGGATCATTTTATTTTCTGTAAATATTCTTCCAGTGCAAAATGAATGGACTCTAAAAGTGACTCTTAGTCAGTGAATTTTGATTTGATCCATAAATAAATGTGATCATTCATTTTATATAATCAGATAAAATCACTACAGTACACTTATTTGAGAGCAAACAATTTCCTATAAAAGTTTGAAACCAACAATAACAAGCGCTTGGAGCTTCGTTAATTGTCAATCAGGCACTTAAATAGAACACAAACGTCAAGCTTAGATGTTGAATTCCAGACATTTGAGGCAAATGACTTTACGTTTGGCAAGGAAAACGAGGAAAATAAGGTGTTAGCTTTCCTAGCTTTTAACTTAAATAAATGTGGGTTGAACCAGAGAGGCAAGACGTTCCTCTGCTCAGCATCAGTCAGATATAACGATGCTCAACACAGCCAGCTTTACCTGAAAAGATGAGGTCATTCACCTGTCCAGGTATTTGGGTCTCTAGTAGAAAATCCATTCGGGGACCGTCCACTAAGGACCCTAAGGCTTGTGCCCCAGCAGTGTTGCCAGATGGGAAATGTTGAATTAATGTATCAGTAGCTCRAAATTATCGTATTTTGAGGAAAATTATCGTCACATCAACATCACATTTTGCTTCAGAATACCTCAACTGCCTTCAGATTTTATAGTACGTTGTTCAGGACACCTTGTTCCAGATGCAGAACATAACTGAGCCCCCTCCATGTTTCAGTGTAGGTTATTTTTCTTTGTACGTTATTTTTGGGTCTGGGAAGTTGGAGTTGTTGGAACTTTAGCCAAAAAGCTCAAGTTTAGTCTCATTTGTCCAACAGAAATTCTCCCAAAAGTGTCATGGCTTCTCAATATGCATTTTAGCAAATTTCAATCTACTGGTTTTTTAGCCTCTATTGTGTCTTCGATTGTCTTCTGTCCAGTTTGTCTCAAACTGTGAAAGGTGATACAGTGGGGAGAACAAGTATTTGATACACTGTTGATTTTTCAGGTTTTCCTACTTGCAAAGCTTGTAGAAGATTGTAATTTTTATCATAGGTACTCTTCAACTGTGATGGAATCTAAAACAAAAATCCAGAAAAATAC